CTGGCTGGTATAACAGCAAACACAGGACCTGCTGCCCTTGGCAGCTGGAAGCTGTGAGGGATATATGGCAGCATGTAACCAGGTCCTATTTTCAGGCAACTGTATAGCATCGCTATACAACAGAGTCAACAGATCTAGAAAGAGATTCACCTTATCCTGAAGTAGCCTCCTCCAAGGTTTCACTCAATTTCCTAGATGTAGGTACCTACCATTGTAACCTACTGTTATTTTTTCACAGCCTCTATTGCCTTACCTTTGCGTGCCATTCCAGAAAGGCACAGGTGTCCAACAGGTCCTATGCCATATCTGTGAACCCTGTCTGGGTGCTTTTGGATACAAGTTGGAATGCCAGGGCATCTCAAACAGCACTAGGCATCTACATTTAGAAAAGCTTCTTATAGCTAAACAGCTTCACTGACTCTATTGACTAGGCGTTCATTAACCATAATGAGAACTTACATATTGAAGTCACATGTAGATACTTGAATCTAGGTGCCTTGCCTTTAAAACCAGTTCCTACCCTTGACACAGTTTCTAACTCAACATTTTTACAAAGTAAGGTGACTAGCATATTTTCAGCAAATGATTCATGCTCATATGAAAATAATTCATGAAAATAATTCCAGAATAATTCCAGAGCCATCCTGCTAAGTGTTAGTTAGCTGGCTGTATCTTGTCCTTATTCAATTGGGTAACTGGAAGGGAATGATAAGTGCATGACTGAATTTTTATTGGGACATCACGCCACTCATGGCTGACTTGGTATGGAGGGCATTACTGTTGTATTGCATATCAATGCCTTCATTTCTTCATGCATGACTTCCACTTGAGTTTATATATGATTAATCCGTGGCATATATTTAAGCAGGCAACTCATTTTATTCTACTTGACATTCTAAATTACACAGAGAAATATTACAAATGCATGTTTTCTTCTGCCTATCATGAATATTAAGTTTACTGGACTGTTACTGATAAATCTGAAAGTTTAGATTGCTTTTTAGGTAGAACATTAACAACACCCTTTATCCTTATAGGACATGAGTGTGATAGCTACTATTTAAAGATTTTCTTATGTTGCCACAAGGCTTCAAAAAATAATAATGGAAACAGAAAGCTTGATGCGACCAGTGTTGCTTACATGACTAAGAGAACACAATAGTCACGGTGACTCAAAACAAGGTAAGAAGTGCCTGCAGTTGTCCTTTAAATGGTCAAACACAGAAACAAAAGTTTCCAAATAATAACTATGAAATAGTTTGTGCATTAAGCCAGCAAGTCGAACTGCACTGTCAGATAAATCCAACATATGCATGCACACACATACGTGTGCTTGAGTGTTTGTACGTAAGGTGTCTGGTCATGTAAAAGTTTTGAACTAAACCATACTGTGAATTAATTTGTCTTACAATAGCAGTCAAAATACATCAAGTAACATTCTAGACTATGTAGAAAGAAAAAGATCTTTATAGTAAAAATTATTCCAAATGTCAGCTTCTGCCACTTTTCTTTCATTCATCCATCATAACTATGGATGGATTAAATAGTTACCGAATTATTGTTACTTTTTTTATTTTTCTGTCAGGTTATCAGGTATTTTCAAAATTTTGCTGTATTTTTCTACCAGAATAATGGAATTTGACATCAGAATAATATCTAGAAAGTTGACTTGAGCTGATAAACATGGCCAAAGGAAGTTATTTGCCATTTGTTCATCAAGGAAATAGCTTTATTGATTGTCAAGTATCTCATTAAATTGAGGACAGAACAATGAAAAGCTCTTTACATTTGCTTTCCTTTCTTCACGAGCTGTACATTGACAGGCAGTATTTGTAGCTATGGAATTCAGAGACTAAGATATAGTTGAAGAAATCTATTTATTAACTCATTTCTTTGTGAAAAGGGCAGCAGCATTCCATTATGATGCCTTGAAGTGAAGAAAAACTATTTTAATAGATTTTATGAAAGTATGTGGCACAAACTAATCCTGCTAAAGAAGAAAACTGCTGAATAATTTAAAATTTATAAAAATATTGTGATGAAAACTGTGCTTATTTTAGCCACTGGCAATTCTTCTCCAATACTGCCATCTATAGAATCTTTCAAATATTACACTGCTGTACCCTTAAATGAGAATATTATTGGGTCTGTGAAATCTCACAGCTAACTAATCTGAAATTATAGGTCTTCTTCATTGATCCGCAAAATACAGTAAATTATCTAGGACATAAATTTCATATGCTTAGCATCTAGAGGAATTCTAGCTTATGTGGAAATATATCTCAATACTTAACAGAATGTCAGAGAAACTTCACTGACTCCAAATTTATTTTTGCTCAAGTTTTCCACTGCCTTAAGTGATACTGTTTATGTCAAGATGAGAGACTTGATTTAGTCCATTAAAACAAATGGCAAGAAAAAGAAAAAAAGATATCCCACAAATGTTTGGATGCTAGAATACTACTTCAGGGAGATGTCATATATTGTTGCTGGGTTAAACTTTTCTCTAAACCTTCATTATTGGCCACTGCAAGAGACAGGATTACTGGCCTCACACAAGGACACTGTTCTTATAAGAGGAATAAGCTGCTAAATTACAATTTAGTAGAGATTAGAATATAATTGCAGACAGTCACTATGGATAACATGTCTGTATTTTTAATGTTAACATCACTTAATAATTACTAGTTATGAAAAAGATATTGTGTTCACATATATAATAATGATGTCCTATAAATCAAACTATCTGCAGCAAAAGGGTTTTAGATTATTGCTTCTTCCCCAGGAAGAATCATCCTTGACACTGGATCTTGGCCACTTTTTCTTACGGTAGTAATCACACTGAAACCAATAGGTCTGCTGTATACTTGCAGGAGAGCTGAAACAACCAGGTCCTTAGAGATTCCTCCCTCTTCAGGAACCCTTTGAGATATCTAATTACAAAGGAACTCATTGGGCCAAATGGAATAAGCTGGAATTTGGTGTTCAAAGCCATGCAGTAGACTCTCCCAGACAAAGTGGTGGGGGCTGGAGCCTCTTGTTGGTTTTGAGCACTGTGTGTTAATGAAATAACTAGACTAAATTACATGCTGCTCTAGGCTGAAGCTTCACTTCTTAATCAGAAGACAATTTAGAGTTGTCTGGTACTTCAGTTGCAAACTTCAAGTCAAACAAACAAAAGATTTTGTTAACATCATATTTTGGTGTCCTGGAAAATGTAACTACTTTTAAAAGAAACCTAGATAAACTACTTCCTCCATATTCCTAATCCTTGTGGTTAAAGGAGTGCTAACTAAGAATTAACACTGTGCCAGATCTTGGCAATATTTGGTTGCCATTTATGCACTTCAGGATTTGGGCTGTTTTTCCTGTGTTACTGTTACAGTTGTGACCTTTTCAAATCAGTGGAACAGAATTATCTGTTGCTTCATGTGTCATGAACAGTCTTAGAAGTGGTCTGAGTGCTGACAGCAATTTTAACGCTAAATAAAAAAAGACTCCTGCATAAATTTTCCATTTCCTACCCATTTCATTACAACCACTTTTATTTCTGGCAGTATAAATGAATCATTTTTTGTTTGTTTACATCAGTGTTACCTTTAGAAACCCAACACACTCGAAGAACCATCCTGTCTTATAAGCATTAATGGGTTTGAAAAACACAGTACCCCCAAGAAGTGGAGCTTTAAATTATTCTAGAATTAATGTATATGTATAATGTCTTGCCTGACAAGGCTTTGCTCTTTGGACCCATTCAGATCTAATTTCCATCACTCTCCTCTTTTCCTAGTGCTCCTTATGGATGCTTACTTTTCCAAAGCAGGTCTTAAATTTCATAGGTATCTTCCTACTGCACTTCAGTCACCAGCGTGCTGCCTACCTGCTACACCTCTTGATCTTTCTTCTAGAAAAGCAAGTCCTGGCACTTGCTTTGGCAGGTTGAAATATGCAATGAAATATTTGCTCCCAGTGTCAGACCAAAAAATACCTGTGTACTACTTGCTGAATATTAACTGATCATGTAGAGCCTGTAGGAAATGCAGGGTAACTGAAACTGCTACCCTCTCTTTATCAAGTGGGTTCATTTCTTCTAATTTAATCTAAAATATATGACTTAACACACATCTTACTGCAACCTCCTAAGAATATTGCTCAGTATTTACACTTTGGCAGTGAGCATCGTAAAAGTGGACCAAGTAAGCACGGTGAATATCAGGCCACATGAGCTGTTAAAACTATGTTCTTTAACTAATCTTGCTCTCCCTCGGTTTACTCTTGTTCTAATTTAGCTTTCCAACTACTGATCACTTGTTAGTGCAGCTCCGACTTCTAAAGTTGAACCATAATGTATCATATCTCTGTGCTGACAGTCACTGCATCCTTGGTGGTTTGAGTCACTGCTCTAAGCAGGACACATCACGTTATTCTTTAAGAACACTTACATCCTCATCTGCACATATGCTTTCATCTCTTGTATATAGTTCATAAAGAACCATACACATTTTTAGTGTTTCCTAGGCAAGTTAGTGCTTGATTATTGTCAGTTTATGTTTAAGTCCCTTAACATTTGTACTCAGAGTACCCTTCCTTGTTATTGTGGTTCTACCCCTACTGTCCCATTTACTCACTTCACCTGGCTTGTTCTCGTGCAATCCATACTGTTGTACTGTATTTACCAGTTGCTATTATTTGGTAAAGCCCTATTTGTTCTTACTCTTTGTTATTCTCCTCTGTTTTTTTGCCTTGTAAATCTCTTCTGTCGTTTTCTCATGCTTTTTTCCTTCTTTCTTGCACATTCATTAGTCTCCATCATTTAATTTCTCTTTGTTCTCTCCTGGTCCCCTGGGCTGTTCATTGCTCTCTGTCTCTTTTTCTTTTGGCTCCAATAACCACCATCAGTCCAGAGATGAGATACTCAATCTTGATAAGCAGCTGTTTTTTAGCAATTTGCCATCCACTAAAAGTGTAAACTGTGCTTTGAAAAATCTCATGACAATTCATTATTCTGCCAGAGTAAGGTGAAATGCAGGGCAAAGCATTTGGTCAGGACCCATAGTCCCTATTCATAAAAAGAAAGCTTTTAAATAAAACAGAGAGGAACCCTCTAATGTGTTTACCAGGTGGAGGAATTACTGAAAGGATGACAATCTACAAGAAATACAATTTTCTGTTGCTCAGATATAAGCTATTTGTATTGGTAATAGTGGCCATCTGAAGAAGATCCAAATCTATTCTGAAACCAGAACACAGGAGTGTTTACCTGATTAATTACCTGCTTTATGTATAGCACATGTCCTGTTGATCAGTGTCCTGAATCCAGATGGCATTACTTTTGAAAACCTCACTTGAAATGAGAATTCAAAGTTGAAAAGTTCATATAAAGAGCCCTGAAAAGCCGTTACAGCAGAGGCAACAGAGCAAGGACATTCTTACATGGAATAAAGAATTTAACAATGACTTTCCAGAAGCTATATTCTCTTTGATTTGAGCCTACCAATTGCAAGTGCTTTCTGTAATGGGATTTTAAAACTGTATCCATCTATAGGGTGAGGACTGCAAATCAGGTCAAATGCAGTTCAGCTTGTCAGTTTTGTGCTTGCAACTCGCTCTGTAGGCACAAGGGAGGCTGGACCTTGGCAGGCAGTTTGAAAAGGGAGCTATGTAACAGTAACTGGAGTTCTCCAAAAGATGTAAAGCGAGCTTCTCGAAGGAAAAACATAAGCTTGTACAGTATTAACTTGAATCTAAGAGCTGCGGAATATAAAGTGCGGACGGTACTACATCCCTTGCACACAGAGGCGCTTCTGACACTTACAGGAAAAGTCCCTGAGCTTGTGGCACCTATGTATCCACATTGTTGAATATTCATTTGTGCAATCCCTCAGAGAAGAAAGCAGACAGATAAAGGATTCTTATACATGAGGGTAAGAAATGCAAAACCGGCAAACTGAGGACATATTTTGAGGGTGACATGTTGGAAGGAAGCCAGGGAGAACAGACACTTGAAAATTATTACAGTGATGTTTGCATCTTTCATCATCATTCTCAGTGCATCCCTACCCAATAGCCAGTGAAGTCAACAGGACCTCTCCGTTAGCGTCAATAGAAATTGGATAAGGTCCCAGATGCTTCCTACATCTGAAGTGTACTCACAAGTGTACTACTGAGTTCTTAAGTGTATTTCTCAACATACTTCGTTATGGTGACCTTGGGAATTGAACTAAGCACTATATGGCTGCTCTGCAATGCTTCCTGTGCCCTCGGTATCTGACAATGCTGCGCTGCCTGTGAATTTGGTTGAATGATTTGAAAAAACGGAAGGAACAAATGGTGTTAAAAATACGCAGTCAGAAAACAGTAGCTAACAATTCATAGCTTTAAATTACTTGATTTTTCTGATAGAAAGGAGCACTGCTTAGATAAAATCTGTTTAGTACTTTGTGTGTCTATGTCACATTTCATTGATATATTACAAAACACTGTGTTTTTCTGCCTGGGCATTATTGCATAAGTGTACTATCCATTTGACATACCTTGTTCACAGTAGGTACCGGTTGTTCCAAGAGGACAGTGACATGTGTAGCCGTTAGGCAGCGGCACACAGGTACCACCTTGCTTACACAGATGTGGAGGATTGTGCTCTGGTTCACATACTGACACCGTTTCTGTGCAAAATGCACCTTTCCATCCAGTGAGGCACTCACAGCTGCGGTGGGTAAGGAAGTGAAAGGAAAGAATACAACATTATTACCAAAAGAAATCAACTTGTCAGTAGCAATGTAATCAAGATTTTCAAGTTTGGACACCTATATTTAGTCATCTGATCCAAAATGTTTAAGAGAAAAGTGTAGTAACAAAGTTTCTCATTTAACTTTTTGAAATGTTTATTTTATTGTAAAAAAAATGTACTTAATAGGAAACATTTTATTTTGAATCTTAGCATTACAATATTAGCATCTAAAAAAAAAAAAAAAAAGCTTGTTGCTTTTTTGTGTTTTGCTCTACACATAACTCAAAAAGGCCTTGGCTTCATAAACCAGGAGGAGTCAAAGTGCAAATTAAAAGGGAAAGGAAAGCAGTGAAGAGCAGCCATAAAAATAAAACAAGATGTCACTATAAAGGAACTGCTAACAATTCCAAATTTTAGCTAGTAACAGGAGTCTGTCAGCAACTGCCTTTCACTTAGCCATTATTCATTTGCTAAATTCTTCTAATTGGCACACCAGAGGTAGGTTTGGTGAAGCACTTGATGGAAAAGAGGACAGTGGATTTGATCATGAAAGAGGTGGCAATCTGAGTGTTATGTATCTATGATTGTAAATCTATGCTGTAAGCGAATTGTCTAAATTGACTGAATCATTGGACTTATTAGTGTCCGCTACTCTTTATGCCTTTCTTTCTTCCAGGCCAGTAGAATATAACAAAAAATTCACACTAACCTGTTAATTTAAAATTAGTATGAATTCTATAGAAATGTTAAATACAGAATACACTTGGCATTGATGTTAAAAATGCCCTCCTCACTAAAAGAAAAAGTTTCAAAATAATTAAAATGAAATATGTTAGACCCATCTATATTTTAGAATTTAGTAACACTTTATGATAAAAAAAATTATTCCCCTGAATAAAAGCACTTATTGATTTTTCCCTGGAAGCTTTCTCTCTCAAGACTAAGAATGAAACCTCATGTATTTTGATTGATTCTTAGCCCCTGTCTTTTTGTATATGTGCAAAATCTTGAATTTTTCTTCAAACTCACTGAGCTACACTTTCTCCATTAATCAGCCCACTGTTTCTGGGCAAAACACAATGAGGAGTCTGTGAAACTCTGCTGTTTCACCAAACCTTCAGATCAGACAACATGTAAACAAAGCACAGCCAACAAGCCCTTCAGAGTGATAAACAGCTATTTGGAATGAAGGGGAAAAGAGGACCAGACCTTGCAAAAGCAAAAGCACCTCAATTCATCAAAGTCAGCATCAGAATGCTTTCTGTCTCAGCTATAAATGTTATGCTTTGATGCATGAAAGCTACTGAGAAGGGGAAGTAATTTAACTCCCTGAGTGGCAAACAGAAATGTCCCTTTCTCGTGCTGTGAGGCAGGGTGTTTAGAGCTGAAGCTACTGCTGTCGGGCAGCATACACAAAGGTTCTTCCCCTTTCCCTTGCTTGTATCTGCATATGTCTATTCAAGTTTCTTTTCATTCTTGTCTTTTAGAACCTAGTAAAAGTTAGGTTTTTAAATTAATTGAAAATTATTTGCACAGAACTGAACATATTTTCTGTGGCATACAGTGGCAAAGGTGTATGAACAAATGCAACCTCTTCTACTTAACACTCCTAAGCAAGTTGGACTGGGGTTGAGAAGTTTAGATCCAAAATTTCCTAATCTTTAGAGAGATAAGGGAAGAGGCAGCATTTCAAATCCTTTCTGTCACGTGGCCTGCCATGCTGGTCTAGTTTTCTGTGTATTTTCTTGGTTGTGGTTGCTTGTTGTTTTTCCAGACCAGGAGAACCCAATGGCAACGTCACCAGCGCCTTGATTCTCAGGGATTTAAAGATCTATTTAGAATCACAGAATATTTCAAGTTGGAAGGAACCCATAAGGATCGCCGAGTCCAACTCCCTGCTCCTTGCAGGACTACCTAAAACTAAATCATATGACTAAGAGCATCATCCAGATGCTCCTTGAATTCCTTTAGATATAAGAGGTGAGATTCATTCTGAGATCAAGACACCTAATTTTATGTTACGTTAGGTGCCCAGATGGCCTCCAGTTGCCTTCCTAGAGGTATGTGAGAGAGGCAGCTTGAGACTAGGGAGACAAGATTCTGACTGAGACCACTGAATGCTCAAGTTTAGGCAATGGAATCCTGGAGTAGGTGCCCGAGCTCATTGCTAATCAATGGTGACCCAGCTGAAAGAGTCAGGGGAACCGGGGCACTATCCATCCCACAAACCAATACATGCATGACTCTAATGATAAGGTGCTGCATTCAATTGCCTCAACACAGGCATTTAGTGCCGTCTGACATGTCATGGTGTATCTGAGAGATCTGTATGAAACTAGCAGATAAGACAGAAGAACTGCAGAAAACTTGTGTTCTTCTGGACACCCTGTGAAGAATAGGAAAGGTATCCCAGGATCTGTGCCATTAGAATGCCGATGTTCAGACAACTGGAAAGGCCTGGACCTCCACTGACTGTGATTGACCGGATCTTACACATTTAGCTCACCCAGAGACACTCTAAGTTTATGTGTCTTAGGAGCTAAATCTCACTGCAAGATACTTCACTATTTTCAGGGTTTTTGCAGAACATTCTTCTATACTCGAGCTTTTGAGTTTCTCAAGAGCAACTGCCAAAATATTTTTAGGTGGAGTAAGGATAGGAAGGCTTTCATATACAACTTTGATAGTGTGTCTGAAAGGAAATTGGATAATCTTGAATCCCCTAGTTTTGCAAAGGACCCTTAATAGGGTGCACTTCACAGAATATACATGGCAAAGTCAGACAGTTCAGGAAGCAAGAACTCTCAAATTCAGAGCTCCCAGAGAAATACAACAAAAGATTAATTTCAATTCTGGAAATTTCATATAACACTTCGAGTTCTGTAATCTTTGTATTTAGGAAGTTAAAGTATGGTTTAATTAATGTCTTTGTCTTTTTCTTTTTTGTTTCTTGTCAAATGCTTAACAGTGCAGTGCTCACAGAATGGCTTTCCAGGCTCAAAGTCCCTTACCAAAGCCAAACTGAGCTCTCAAACAAGTAACACAGTTTCTACATGAGGAAGGACAACAAGTTTATGTCACTGTTGATTACAGACCAAGCCCTGAAATTTATTATGCAAAAATTCAGGCAACACATTAAAAAAATAATGAAAAGTAATTTCAGTTTATAAACTATGTAAGCAATGTGTCTGTATGTTACTACACAAAATCCTAATCAAATCAGAAGCATTTCTTGAACGTTAGAGGGAAACAACTAAAAGTCCTAAAGGATTTTTGTGAAGGAATTGGAAAGTTTGCTTATATCCAATGTGGTTTTCTAAACTAAACAAAGAGCATTCTTACATTAAACATAAAAAATATCATGTGTAAAATGTCATGCTCAATGCTAACAAACCTGCAACTTCCTACAGTTACGCAAATGTGGTGTCAAATCAAACAAGTAATCTTATAGCAGTAAAAAAGGAGGGATTCAGCCCTGCAAATTCAGACACCTGAATTTAGGTGTCTACGCGTAAAATGGGCATATACTCAATGGAGATCAGAGGTTCAATTAATTTACCTAATTAGTTAGGCCAACTGAGACCAGTCAGATGTTTAGTGCTATCTGAAACTCCCTGGGGTATCTCATCTGGCCTCCAGCTACTACTCCAGAAGGAACTGTCACATTTGTCAACATCATATGGGTATCTCAAATTCATAATGGCCTGTATTGACCACATCAGGCTACCCAAACTGCTGCAGATTTCTGGATATAGTTCTTAAATTTGTATTGTATTGGAACTGAAAGATGCTGAGCAATGGAAGAGATCTTTAAATAAAAGTGGCTTTAAAATCAGGCAGTAGAAAACCAGAGCATTTATCTTCAGCCTAGAAGGTAAAAATGAAGTCTGAAAAAATTAAGATTGGAAGGAAATTAACCATATTTAAACAAAAAGAACAATGGAATGCTGCAGAAGTGTCCTGTTAAATAAGCCAAATTGGATGACAATTTTTCGATAGCAAATCCACCCCCAGCCATAGAAACTTTTATCAATCTAATCCACAAGAATGAAATAGTTTCCCTTGCAAACTATAAAAGTATGTCCTTGCATTAAAGATTGGTTCCATCCTTGCACTGAAAATTGGTTCTCATCGTAGCTAACCTAATAATGAAACTACAGCAGCTCATTTTATGGGACATCCCTCTACCATATAGGGGTATTATTTAATTTCCTAAACCGAAGTGGCTAGTGCTATTTGAAAGCTACAGAGTACTGAGAAATCCACATGAGGCTTGGAGATATGACAGAAGACTTATGCAAGTCCTAAGCTTCTGAAGCAGCAGCTGAAGGCTAAATGGTCTACCCAGAGGTATCTAAAGTGACACTACATGCTTACATTTAGCAAACTGAATCCTGCCCATTATGTCTGATTACGTGCAAAGTGCATATAAGACATACTTTTTCTTTTACTTCAGCAACAAGCAATAGCCATAACACATCACAGACAATCTTGTTATATGTAATTTTCCATTGTGTATGATTCTGTGCCATAAATAAAATAATGGAGGATATTATTGTCCTTGAACATAAAATTCTTCATTTTGTTATTAGAATACTTCCTCTTTATTTTGTTAAAACATAGTAGTTGTGCTCTGTTGCTGGCCAGATGTAAAGTTTAATGCTGTATATTTCTGCTTCTATTTAAATCAAAGCATTATCCCTATAGCAACTGAATCTACAGCTTAATGGCACTGCACACTTTCTGGCAGGGTGATGAAAGCAAGACATAAAAATAGCTGAAAACAGCAACAAAAACCCCTGGAGAGACCTCATTTCAGGAGAAGAAAATATTTGAACACAAATCCAGTTCCCTCAAGGACTCCGCTCGTCAAAGATTTGAAAACAGAAAGAAGCTCCCTCTGAGAAAATGTGAGACGGTATTGACAGCTACTATACATTGACAAAAATTATATGCATGCTACATCGACACCTCTTTGGCAATATTTCACTTTTTTGTGAGAGTTAAAAATGGCCATTACTGGTACATGCATGCATATATACATAGTCTGTGAAGATGTAGCTGTCCTGAAATATGAGGAGAGGAATGTAATTCAGTAGTAGGTCATTACAAATTAAAAACAAACCAACAAAACCCAGAAAAAACAAATTACACTTCCCCCCCCCCCCCAATTTTACAGCAGCCCCCAAACATAAGGAATACAAAAAACAAATTCCCCTCCCCCCCCCCCCCAATTTTACAGCAGTCCCTAAACATATGGAATACAAATTATGAAACTACAATGACAAAAAAGAACTTTGCCTATAATATCAAGCTTCCAGTGTAGCTATGTCACCAGCTGCCACTCTAGCCTGCCATCTGCTTTCCAGATGTTCTCTAGATCTTACTGGTGGTGTCTCTGTGTACCTTACAGATGTGAAGATGACTTAGCACTGCTGGGTAAGTTGCTGAAGCAAGGATTCAGGGTGGTATAGATGGGCAGATAGGAGTGGCATGCTTCAGCCCACATTTCTGATATTTTTTTTCTTGCAGTTTTGGTTTTGTATCTCCTCTAATATGCTCATAAGTGAAAAGAGTGTCATTCTCCTTTCTTATTCCTCAGAAAGATCACTCTGAATGTCAAGGGTTTAAGTGTTCTAGAAGGATCCTGCAAAGTGCAATAGTTGGGACATACTGTAGCACAACAATCGGAAAGCAATCCCAAATTATATCTTTCAAAGCATTTCCTTCATTACTGTATTTAAGAGAATATAAATACGCTCATAAGGGGAATGGTGAGGGAATTGCATGCTGCATCTCAGGTGTGAATTTTCCAAATGTTAGTACAGCTTACTAGCTTCAGAAACACTAGTTTTGTACAGGTTTTCTTATCTGTCTTGCTGTCTGCAGTGTTTTCAGTTAGTGTCTTCAGATGTTTTAAATCAGCACTTTTCTCTTTTTAAAAAAATTATGCAAATACATGTAAATAAAGGAACACATGTGGAAGCACATGAGAGGAAGCAAGTATAATTAATCTTGGCAGATACTTTTAAAATCAAAAGTGTTCCTCAGCAAAGGTTTTACAGCTGAATTACAAAGTGTTTGAAAACAAGATTTATTACAATGCAAGTGTTGACACACAACAGCAATTTGGAACTGCAAATGTACTTCCTTCTTGTATGCCTTACAGTCTGGACACTAAGATTCATCTACACTTACTGATAAGGCATGAAAGAACATAAGCTCATCTTCTGGGCCAGCTGTCATCGCCACCACTTATTATTCCACAGATCAGCCAGGTGAACACCTTACACGATAAACTGACGTAGTTCAAACAATTTTAACATGAGAACCTTGCTAACACACCTTGTTTTGTCTGAAATGGATTAAGAAGGTCTTACATGAGCAGGCCAGCCAGCCGATTTGGAAAGGCAATGGTGAACGAACACTTGAGAATGGCATGAAAAGTGACCAGGGAAGGTGCATTTGAAAGTCAGGAAAGTATCCACAGAAATCACAACTGGAGTGTGTTATTAGGGAGAGATTGAGCAGGAGAGAAGAATGCACAGGTGCTAGGTAAGGGAGCTCCTAAGGATTTAAACTGGCTCAGAACTTTCTGATGTTGGACAGTCAGTGGTTTACTCCAGAAAGGGGTTCTTAGATGAAAATACTCATTTCCAGGAAACGGAAGTCACCTATTTCTGCCCCATCAGTCATGTTCAGACATTAAGGCAGTCAAGCTCTCCTCTTTGCCATTCGTTCTCTGCTAACTAAGCTTCTCACTTAGTTTTAAAAAAAGGTCTTTCCTAAACATCTAGTTCTTCCCATGCATTTTGTAGTAAGTTTGGATGCCGGTGACTTCAGTGGAGCAGAACCAGTCCATGGAATTTCTTTAAAAAGTTCCCCAGGAACTGTTATAACATAATTTTAATACTTGAGTTTTGATTTTATTAATGTAAGATTAAAATTCTCTGTGTAACTGAATGAACCCTTCAACAGTTTTCTTTCTTTCTAATAAAGTGATAGGCTCCTGAAGACTTCTGTTATCAAGACACTAAATTACCATAGTTATTAGTCTAGCGATCAGTCTGTGCTGTAGTCTACAAAAAAAAATTATACTTACTAAACAGTAGAGCCACCTTCTATGCACTTCCCACCATTTCTGCATTTTATTAAACTGCATGGGGAATCTTTGCATTGTCCAACACTGCGACCAGAATTGGGGTGACCTTCTGGAGTCCCTGGTGACTTAAACTCTTGATTTGTGCTGGTGCGAACTTGAACATCAAAAATGCAACCTCAAAAGTAGAAAGAAAAAATGAATGAAGTTTAAAACAGATACAAGAAGTCAAAACAAACAAAACAACAGGACAGTGTCAACCCTCAATGAATGGGTTTCACCAGAATGCCTTCAGTGAATGGCCAATCGTACCATCTACATGAGGTAAAGGTATGCTTGCTACTTTTGGTTCAGGCAAATGAGTGGATGATTTTAAGTTCCTTCATTTAATGATAGGTAAAACAACAGAAGTAGTTTCTCAAGGAATAGACAGAATATGAAGTCAGTGACTAAGGAGTGGCTAGGTGCAATTTTGTGTTTATACACACATGCTCTTACAGGAATGCATCTATATCAGATAAAGTGGTCAAAAAAAAAACAACAGAAAAAAAAGGAGAACAGAGACCAAGAAGTCTCTTTAATGTAAAATATGTAAGAATCCAGAGAACACTGACTAATATAATGCAGCCAGGGAATGTGGACTTGAATTTCCTTAGGTTGAAAAGGACCCCTTCAGGGAAAGACCCAGATTTTCCCCTTCTTAAGAGAATGCTTCAGTCCCTGGTACATACAGACCATGTTGCACATGATCACATTTTAAAGTAGGTGTCTGCTGCTCCTTTAGGCCCTTAATCTCCGAAAATAATTAAAAAGTTTAACGTATACTAGTAAGGTAAACACTTCCATGGCCTGTTACTTGGTCCTGCAGGCAAACAACCTAGTATAGTCATGATTATTTTACCAAATTTTTATTACTTTCCAGAACAGTATGCTGCATCCAGACTATGGATGGGAAGTAGTCCCTAGATTATGTTAAGTCCCTAAATACACAAAGAATTGTTTGGAAAAATGATAGTTGTCACAGACCAGATATTTGTCAGGGACAATTTTAAGAATTTATTTGTAGAGATGATTGAGTGCCAGTGCCTGGATCTATGCCCTGACATTCTTCTAATTTGCTAAACATTGGTATCCCAAGTGCAAAGAGGAGCCAAAGCTTCAGGGTGAAGCAGAGATGTTCCCTACTTGCTACCTCCAGGCAGCTCCTGCTTAGCCTGTGGGCTTTCTGGGGGCTGTCCCTTTGGACAGTCTTTGCTCTTTCTAGTGACTGCACAGGATGGTTAGCCTTATGGGTCTACTTAATTCATCAGTATTTTTTGGTCACGTTTCCAGATCCACATGCTTATTTATGTACTGCAAAGATGAAGATTATGCCATATATTATATCTTTTTGGATTAAACCCTAAGTAACTTTTCAAAATATACCTGAACATCCAAGTGACTTAGGGTCACATTTAAAGGTAGCCTTAGGCACTTTTGAAATGTCATCCAGATCTATACATAAATGTATACAATTTTAAAATAAAATCAGGTTTTAAACCACTTTAGTTAAATCAGTACAGTAATGTATTTGGAAATGCTCATACCTTTCTAAATCTGATTTAGAGAATTTAGCTGAGATATGGCAAATTCCCACAGTGTGTGAAATCATGAGAATAGCAGGTATTCAGCAATGCATGCCAGAGGCTCTCTGCTTAATATTAAAAGCAGAAAAAGGATATGATATGGAGATTGCAAGTAATCATCACACTGTTTTTTTAAAAACCACTTAATATGAGTTTTTGTGCGATTCATTGAAATCACAAAAGAAAAAAGACTTGTACCTGAAAGACAATGAATGTCCAATTGTGAATTTTTTTATATAATCACATAATTCATTTTGAACAAAATATAAGTAATATTTATAGCACGATAACTATTTTAACTATAGTTAGAACAATGTTAGTAGAAGTAGCTTTCTTAGGCAGACTTTTTCCATATTACACACAGTTTGTAGTTCTATTTATATTGACACATAATTGATAATTAAAAAACTCATGTTAAGCAATTTAAAAATAGCTTGGTTTGATGATTATTTGCAATCTTCATATTATTGCTTCTTTGCTTTTAACGGTGTTGGTTTTAGGCCACTGTATGCTCGGTAAATCCTAACTAATGTTTCACCTGTTTATCAGTGGCAGATAAAGCATGTTCTAGTCTCCTGAGTCTTGCTGAGGTGCTAAGAAAAAGCAGCCCAGAGCTCTGTGTAAACAATGGAAAGCACAGTGAGTACCCAAGAACTGGTAAGGTCATAATAGAAAATAAACTGGCATTTGTGTTGATGACTGGTTTAACTGTACCAGCAGAACATCTACGGTAGAAACATTTCTTGAGCACTTGTAAACAAAGCATATAGTAGGTACAAGAGTTTTTTGGCCCAGCTTTATGAGTTCAGCTGAATTTTTCATTTAATTTTCTTATTTTTTCTAATTCTTAGTCAGTGGGTTGCAGACAAAGAACTCAGAGCAGCAATTTGAGCCTGTCATAGCAAACACTATATAACCTTCTGCCGAGGGATCAGCTGATGAATGTGCCTTCTTTCTGACCTGAATTCCCTTTGCTCTGCCAGTTCTGGGCCCCTTTTAATGAGAAACTGCCAACTATTCTGAATAGTAGAAAGGTTTTCTGACACAGCCAAGTTTGCAAGAAGAACTCAAAAGAAGTTTCTGAATTTGTGAGTTAAACTTGGTTTGATCCTGAAGATCAGAGTTTCATGCAAGTAAGCTGAAATCAGATGCAACAAGGCAGAGGATATACTACCTTTTTGTTTGTAATCTTTTGTCTAGTGACTCCTTAGGCCACAATTAGAGCTTTCTGTCAATGACTTTTTTTTACTCTCAATTTAATTTATAGCTTTCACCCCAGTCAAGCAGAGCTCACAAACCACCAAAGAGCCACCAACAATGGATTAAGGAAACTTCAGAGATTATCATAAAAAAGATGACTTCATTACTCAGCTTTACTTTTTTTCCGATACATCCTTATCATACAAAGAATTTTTTCAAAAATTTCTCGCTACTCTCCCTTACCTGCTTGTAAGCACTTGGTACTAATTTGATTAAAAAATACACAAAGCAGGTGTTTTCAAGAAGATGTACTAAAAATGCAGCAATAGAACTGACAGATAGATATATAGATAAACTGTGGTCGATCTGAATGCAACACTGAATTTACACATTTCTAAAATTCTACCTGTCCTAAAGTACTTTGCTTTTCCCCTGTTTTTCTTGATTGCTTGTGAGTAGTGGGGTGTTTGTCTAAAAGAGAAGATGGCCCCCACAATGACTACCCAGTGCTGCTCTGAGCTGTGACCCAAATACCCAGAGGGCCTGTATGAATCATACCGTGATGCAAGAGGCAACACTGATTAAAAACTACTTCAGAAGTCACTTTCCTTCTGTGACATCTGTGATGCAGGAACATAAAGAAGAGTAGTCTTTGCCCTGGCAGGCTTGCAATGTATTCTAGCTTATTATGAACATAAACTTTGACCACAAGGCTATATTTGTATCTATTTGGAACTCAACTGAGTTCTGGGTTTACTTTATTTTAAAAAGTGACTGCAGTAGCTGGAATTTTATTTACTTCTTTGCAAAATCATTTATGTGAAGAGGTGGCTCTTTCAGTGCTAAAGAGGTTCCTCAACAGTTCAGCTTTATGGTAAGAGCTTCTTTTGCCTTTTTATTCCTCCATTTAACACTATTTGCTGTCAAACAACAGATTGCTTCTATAGCCATACTTCATCCTATTTATGAACACAACCACAGGAACAATCAGTTGCTCCTCCCTCTCTGCTCTTCAGTTATTTCTAGGTGCAAGCCCTGGCTCTCTACCAATGCTTCCATGGGTAGAGCCTGCATCCTGCCATCAAGGTAGCACAGAGCATGAAGCATCAGAACCTTCCCTCTTTTTTTTCTCCCTGACACCAGATTTCTCTCTGCCTGTCTCAGAGATGTGAAGTCTGGAAATTCAGCTGTAACTTCTGGCTTTTTCCAAATAATTCTCTATCTCATTTTGTGTAGGTGAGTCATAGGGTTGAGTTGTGCAGACCTGAACATGAAGCAGTCTGTTTTATACTCCATTTCAGATTGTCCGTAATGAGCAGGCTGAATCTCTTTGGCCACAAGACTTGCAGCTATCTAAAACCCACACTGATTTTCTAGAGCAGCTGCAGTATGCTCTGCTACACACCTCAGAAAACTCTCAAAGGTCCCTTAATTACGCTGTTACAGGACAATGAAGAAAAGCTGGACACTTAAGTAAACAATCCTACCATGTTCCCATTTACGAAAGGCTCCTGTAAGCCCCCAAGGAGCTACAAATTCAGATGAAGCTCAAAGCTCAGAGCACCTCACACTCCACGTGAACTTGACTGCTTCATCTGAGCTCTACCTTTACTAGTTTGTTCAGGTTCTCACAGGGGCTGAAGGAAGTTTTCTAAATTGCTCAAGGTACCATCAAACATTCTTCAGTCTATCCAAAGAATCTTTAGGTGCTGATCCTCAAATTTCCTAAACTTAAAATTCCCAATCTTTTGATTATTAAATTAGAGTTCATTAAACATTTATTTTCAGTTTCCTCCTCCCTCATGGAAATTACTTGAACAACAACTGCTAAAGGCTTGCAGGTAAGGGAGGCAATGGTCTGAAACAGCAGCTGTACAGAGTAAAAATCCTAAATAATTGCACACTGACACTGAGGACAGTCTGCAGCAGCAAGGCTGACCTCAGTGTTTCTTGGAGAGGTACACTCTGGTATTAGAAGCAAAATGGTTTTAATAAATCACGTCTTTAAAAGCAGCCAACAGCACCTTTCCAAAAGTCTGAGTGGTTTAATCAACTATGTGCTAGATAAATTTATCTTGACTGTCTCTTCCAGAGTTTTTCTCAGGGCTCCCTATAGCTGCAGATTGGCTGAAGTAAAATGGTTCAAAATTTTCTTTTATGTTAATGGTACTGCAGTTCCCACTCTGGAGAAGGGCTATGGAGGTTTATTTCTGAGAGCTGAAACTGGGGAGATTTCTGAGTTAGAAGAACAAATGAGATGTTGACTACATAAGAAAATGTCACAGGAAATCGGTCATAGGGAAGTGTAGATTCCTTGAAAGTCAGTATGCACTGGAGAACAGAGACAAGCTGCTGCTGGTAACTGCAGCATGGAATGAATTAGCAAATATAGTAGACTGTGAATGATAGGGACAAAAAGAAAACTGTTTATATACTATGTGTTTGACAAAATTTTGAAGTAAAGACTTCTTTTTAAACAGTAAGAAAAATCAATAAATAGTATGGTAACTAACAGTACATGAACTTTGAAATATTTTTTATTTTTTGCAAGAATATTCATCCTGCATTTGTAGAAATTTGGGCATTGCAATACAATGGCAACATGAAGAACCTGTAAAACTGGCAAAAGGTTTGCGGTTAAAGTGAAGCACCAGAGATTCCTGTTGGTCACCCCTAACATTTAACATCTATAAAAAAAGCCAGAAGTACTTCACATATATTGACACTGTTAAAATACTTGCACAAACATTATGTTTTATGATATGCCAATTTGCAAGCTGTTACGAAGCTATGAAAAGTATAACTATTCAATTCATACTTCCTGAAAAGACGGAAACAGATGAAATGTTAATTCATATGACTTCCTGAGTGAAAAGTTGATTATAGGATAAGAAATTGATTTTGAAGAAGTTTCTGTGTAAGAAGAAAAAGTAAGGTGATGACTGGAAAAGAGGCAGTTACGTGGTCTTAGTGGAAATGGAGTGTAGTACTGTATGAAAGTGAATTTTATTGCTACGCTTGCCTTTCATAATGTGCCCCCAATTTTATAATTGAGAACTGAAACTTTGCTCTGCTATGGCAAAATGTTTTTATTTCATTTGAAAGGCTTTCCAGTGCTTAAAATAAACTGAAGTTTACCTCACAAATATTGAGCACATTATTTCTATGGAAGTAAGGAATGCAAATAAAGAAGTGTTATGAGCAAATCCTTTGCTTCATTGCTGATCTGGTAGGAGTTGAATTAAGATTTCTACAGAGCTTCAAATATCAGTTTCGAGGTAGGAATTATTATCTGTTAGATAAATAGCTGAAACATTCCTAACAGGAATTGCTTAGGTCCTATCTAGAGACCTAGATCATGATGTCAGGAAAAAAAATCAGGTTTCATGGTGTCCTATCAGAAAGAAGCTTTCAGCATGAAAACTGTTACTCAAACCAGCACTGCCAGTGACAACAGTCAGAGCTAGCTGGGAGAAGAATCTAAACTACTTTATCGCAGGGAAAGGAAGTCCTTTTGGAGCGATGCTGTAGAACAGGGACAGGTAAGAAGAAATGATATCATGGCAAACTTCCATTTTTATCAGAAACAGAAAATATTAAAAATATTTAGCAAAGCCTCTCTTTGCATCATATTTCTTAGTTATCGTAGTGAAATAATGAAAAACCCACAGGAATCTCAGCCAAGGAGATCTTAGTGTGTTTCCTTATAAGACAGAGATTTTAGATCTTTATTTCATAGGCAACTGAAACAATATAATGCATATTTTAAAAGGAATTGAAAACAGTATAATCTTTACCTTGAAAGCCATTCTTAAATCTGGATCCCTTTGGTAGGAGTTCTGGTGTATACTCATGATAGCCTCCTAAATAAAACTGACTGAAGACATTGAGTCCAACCAGTCTGCCAGGAGAAGTGACAGTTTTATTCTTCTGATCATCCACCTTTCAATGAAACATTTATATTTGTTACAACAAAGCAATTTACCTGATTTAGGAACCCCTAATGAAGACAGTCCTCCAAACTTAACAGGGAAACACAAAAGTAATTTTTAAACTTTCCATATAAAATGTGAGAAAAAAACCCACTTTCATCTAAAAGCTATCCTTCTAAAGGAAATAATGTCTTACCTTCAGCCAGCCTTTTTGAAGATATCTGCCAAGATGGATGACATGAATATTGAGTGTTAGATCAAGTGGTTTACTAATGATTGTTGCTGTGCCAGAACCTAGATTGTAGCTATACACTACTCTGCCATTACGGAGGCCTAACTCCAAGAAATCGTCTCCATTCAGACCTGAAAAGACAAAAATAGAATAACTACCTATTCCAGGATTTAGTGAATACTGATGCATAAAATATTCTCCATATCCACTGAAAATATATCAGTTCAGGAAAATTTTAGCCAGGAAGGTTTTAAATTTTGTATATATTTTTAATACTCTCTGTTTAACTTGTAATAGTATTACCAGTATTCTTGAGGATTTAAAATAGAAACTGCAGAGTTTTTGAACATATTTATAGGCTTTTTGAAGGAAGTTCTTTTTCACACTAGAGTTGGTTAGTGACATCCACAAAACCTGTTGAGCCTGGTGGATTTAGCAGTCATTGCTGTTCCCCCCTCCGCAACATGAATAAATTCTCAACTATCTCCAGAATCTTAAAAAAACCAAATTGAAATTCCAAGTTGCATGTGAGAATAGCCCATGACTTAATTCTATTCCAGTATGCTTTCAGCTTTCATGGTAGGTACTTTAACAACCTCAAAACTTGAGGGCACCTGCTAATGCGAGGCAAGGGAACCAACAGGGATGTGGGCCTGAGGAAGCTCTAGAAGCTTCTGTCAAGCTCAGTCAGGTGCCCCTGACCTGAGAGTGCCTGGAGACTTTATTGCAGCTGCCTCTGATTAGGGCAGCTCTAGAGTATTTGTTAATTGAAGTTTCTCTGGTCAGAACAACTGTATGCTTTAATTTTCTGAAGTCTTCTTAAACTTTCAGGTTAGAACTCATTCATTTACAAATTTGCAGTAAATACTTCAATTTCTTTACATTTAGGACTACATGCTATAACTATAGTCTGTGCTTTTCAGGTGCTATACTATAAAATCTCATTTGAAAGATTTTAAGTCTGACATAAAGCCTATGAGTAAGATTTCAATTCCTGCACCCATTCCTTGTTATCCAAGTAAACAGATTTTTACACTGGCATCTTTGAAGAGAAATCCCTCCCTCTTCTCATATAGGCAAGAGTGGAACCACCATTAGTCAGAGAAAATATGATCAACTTGTTTCTTTTTACAAACCCCACCCTTTCTTTTGCACATACTCTTAGTATGGTAAAAGAACCGGGATACAAACCATGGTAAAAGGGAATTAGGGTGTCCTGAATTGAAATTCAAAGCCATCAATTTCTTTTTACAGCTCTCCTGTGAATTCAAGCAATTCAGTGCTCAATTTCATGCCTGTAAACTGTGTTTTATGTGATATTTTCGTCTGTTTTCATAAGGCTATCTCATTTTGTATTTGTTTTAGGGAAGGTCTCTTCCTGTTTGTTCTTGCAGTGTCATATGGTGGCCCTCATTTCAAATGTGTGCCTTCATGCCCCTGGCCCCGGCGTGGGGAATCTTCTTCATTTGCAAAAGATGAAGTGGGCTTTTCCCCACAAGAAGCAATGATATGTATATATCGTCCTCCCACTGAAGCTCTGCATACTGCTGTTCCACAGCCAAAACTGCCATATTTCCCTGATCTCACATGCTGCATTAGCAATGCAGGGAGGCGGGGGGAACAGTACTCTGCTTTTTCTATACAGAAGTTTGATTTTTCTATACAGTTACTATTTTGATGCAACATGAATATATATAAAAAGAAAAGATTATTCCAACAAATTTGAATACACAGCCTCTGTACAAAATGTGCAGTTAAATTCAGTTGAGTAGAACACAAACACTGTTCATTTTTATTGCGATGATTTGTTCATGACTGAATGAAACCCCATTGCCTTCAGTTACATTGGCACATTACCAGTGAAGAACTTCCAAACTGTAAATAACAGTTTTTTTTAAATAATTACCAAAGTTTCTATTTTCAGCAGCGTCCACAATGTACTTACATCATTTGGCCTGCAAAACTAGGGGAGGCACATTAAAGACAAAGTGTTATTTAAAATGTTGTCTGAATTTTTAAAATGCTTTCTTGGAAACGAAGTACATAAAAAGAAATGCAACAGTGTCAGCATTCTACAAAATCGACCTGATGGTGAAGATAATGTTAATAGTCTGCAAAACTGAGATAGCTTTTAACTGTTTTGTTGTTTTTTAACTCTTTTGTCTTACTCCTCGTCTGTACCAAGAATGGAAAGGCAAACAGACTCTGAAGTAGGTTTCAAAGAAATCAGTCCATCTTAAATTCACATTCTTTTTGCTGATTTCTGATCCACTTATTTAGGGATTCAAAAATGGTTGATTTCTACTTATGCATTAGTCTTACAATGGCATAATTTTATTGACTTAGTTTTTCTTACACTAATATAACTGCAAATAGAATCAGATCCCAAATGTTTTAATATTTTACACTTTCAAGGTTGTAAGCTAAGTGACTTAAATAGCTATGAAAACCAACGGTGATTATTTTGTAGAGTATACACTAATAGATGGATCTATGCCATGGCTGCGGGGCTTAGCCGTGCCCTGCGGTGGGTCGGTTTGAGCTGGCTGGAACCAGCTGTGTCCAGCACGGGGCAGCCCTGGCCTCTCCTCACAGAGGCCACCCTGCAGCCCCCCGGCCAGCACCTGGGCACCTGCACTCAGGACACATACAGACACTGGCAACTTTTGTCTTGGCCTGTGGGAACAGGAGATGTTTTTCAAGTATTCCAGCCCAAGCCAGGGGTCAGCCATACCCCCAAGACATAAAGAAGAGGACGTGTCCGCTATGATCGGGGGAAATCGAGAGTACTGGTAGCCTGACTGCTGTGAGAGGTGGAGGGGAATCGGGTAGGCTACTGCAAGAGCATGCTGGCTACGAGAAATGGGTTGAAATGGAGAAGGGGGGAAATGTAAATGGAATATTAAAAATGCTTCCTTACAGCAAGATCACAGGCTGTGAAAAACCTCACGCCTCTCACAGTTGAGAGCATTATTGCTTTATACTTGCTAAAAGTAAATTGTTAGGACAACAGCATCTCCTCTCAGTGAAATAAGCAAAGTTCACTTGGTAAGAAATACTGCTTTCTAGTAATTAAAATGGGGGGTTACTCAGTCTCCCCAGCCATTTAAACTAAGGAGAAAATAAATAAAACGGCTACACGGCAATTTACCAGGCGCCTCACTGTTTCTCAGCCTTGCCGACAGCTGGTACTCTGCTGCCCACCCATCATTTGACATGGGGCTGCAGAAATGCATTACTACCATACGGCAGCGTTCACAAAAAAAATTATATGCAAAATAATAAAAAGCTAAGTTTCCGCCTGACAACTACATAATAAGCCCAGAATGCTAGTATTCTGGTTAATAAAAAATGAGACCAGTAAGAATTTTTTTTACTCAGTTCAGCTAAATATGGTTGCAAGACCTATACTCTACATACTCCACAAGGACTTCGACATTACAGGATACACCCTGCAGGCCTTGCAGGCCTTTTTGAGGTAGACTTTGGTGCAACGTGTCTGTTTTATTTTTAAGACTCTTTTTTTGGTATTCTCTTTTGATTCCCCATAGCTAGCTTGCGTTAACTTTCATTGAGTGATGTCTGGGGTTAGCATCTCATGTTTTACCTAAACAACACAGAGCCCAATTCTGGCTGCCACTGTGTTGGATTTCAGTGTTGAGAGTCCTGTGACAACAGCAGCAATTCATGACTGCTCCTGTGGCAGGTCATTTGAGGACACAGGAAGAAGAAACGGCAGGGTGGCTGTGGCACGTTGGATGGATGGATTGATTTTCCAATACAGTAAGTATCAGTGGAAGAAGATTTCAGGCAGCATCTCTCAGAACTGGGCACCAAAGAAATGTAAGCAATAATGAAATTTATGTTTACGACTGAAAAGAGAACCTTAATCTTCTGGTTTCCATTTATTTTGTTCAGAAATATGCTACCTCAAGCATCAGATCAACTGTTGACTTTAATTACTGGAAGCAGTTATACTTCTTAATGAAAAGAAACATTTATACAATCTGATCACTTATTGTGTATTTACAAAACAATAAAGTATTGAAGAGATTATTTTCCTCCTAATGAAATTATATCCTAAAAAGAATCAAGAAAAAGCTGTGTATATTTTTATCCTACCTGTTTAAACAATATTTGAAAGCCTGTAAGGATAGGTAATAAAAATAAAGCTTACCTTGGCCCTTCTGTCCAGTGAAAAAAATCAAATTATCTTGTAAAGCTGAGTGGTGGTTTGCCAACTGAAATTTCAAGTGGAATTCATAGTAGAAGGTGATATCTGGGATTGTAGAATAAGCTAGGAATGAGGTATAGCCAAAGACATCTGTGCCACTGAAACTAGGTTGGCTAATATTAATAGCTGGATTGAAAAAAAAGAAATTCAATGTTAGGGCAAATACTTTAACATATGTAGTTGCAAGTTCTATTTAATAGCCCATTTTAGAACTTAAAAACTAATAAATAATACTGATAATTTGATATATTTTAATATTTTACACACGTGCAGGTATAGTTTGGCTTTCCTCTGAGTGTAATCTCTATTTTCCAGGTTTTGTAATAGGCCGCTTTTACAACTGAACTATTGGCAACTACTGCCATCTCCTGGATTCTAGACAGCATTGTTAGAAATAGAACTACACTGCACTATATACTCAAAACTCAGACAGACAAAAGAAAACATACAAAGAAATTCTGTTAAAAGAAATGCCATCTCTGACATGCATCTGAGTAATGCATGAGTGAGTACAAGGATGTGCTGAAGAGGTTAAGGAATAATAATTCTTCACAGGTAGAGAAATAATAAAAAGAAACGTCATAAAAATGAATTTGCAGCACAGTGAATAGGACCTACATGAGTTATATTTTTCACATTATTTGCTCCATCATTTGAACTGTCTGAATATTCAGGAATTGAGTATCCAAAAATGTACAATTTACAGTACTGACAAATTATTTAACCTTTTTTTAGTGTCATTTAGGTTCAATTTAATGAAAATTTCCCTTATGTTGGGAACTGACCAAGCAAAGCATGTAGCTTTTTCTAAACTACCTTTGCCAACTATATACTCCTGCTTCCTCCAAAGCTGTGAAGGCTACAAGTTCATTCAAACACCTACTGGTTTTGTGACAC